CAACTGCTTTCGAATGGCATCAGTAGTCGACAGGTGGCTTGCGCTGTTGCCAAGCGACGACATTGAACTTGCATTTTTGACTTAGAAAATAACATTCTATACTTTATATTTATTATAGCTCAACTAGAATTATTTAACATTAAGATTAGAAAGTAAGTATAACTTGTCTCGCAATAAGGTAAGTTTAATCACAGTTTAGAAAAATATTATAACAAATACAACGAATAATAGCCCTGCTCTTTTGCAAAATATCAATGGTCCGAAATACTTAGCAAGGAAGGTAAAAAATAATGGTTTTAAGATAATGTTTCCTTTTAAAATAAAACTGATAACTTTCCAGTAAGACATGCAACTAACAGTGCTTGTAAACGTTAATTGTATTTTTATAAAGATATATTTTTTAATTTAGTGAATTGAAGGAACGAAATTTTTTATATTTATTCTTTTTGGGAGATAGAATGTAACGACTTACAATAAGAGATTGGTGCGATTTGTGAGACCTCTTTCGGTAAAGTTTTTGTGTAAATCTTAGAAGATGAATTGTATTAAGTGTGGCAAATAAAAGATTTACTTATACATTAGGCGCCAACAGCGATTAGAAAAATGTGAGATTGGAAGAAAAAAATGTGCAGATCGGTGTTAAAAGTGCTGAAAAACTTATTTGAAAGTTATTCTACAATTTTTCAACCGAAAACATATTTTCGTAAATTTATAAACAGTTATTTAAAGTACGATAAGATATTTTGTCTTCATTCCTATTACTAACTTTCACATTTGAATACCAATTTCACGTAATAATTGTATTCAATATTCATCGAAATATTTGTTAGTCTAAGCTTATCTTTTGTTAAATCTTCATAGTTTTTTCTGTTATGCTTCGAGTGAAAGGGTCTTCAATTTTGTTTTTGAAAGTTTGTTTGCTTATTTTTGAGCAAAGCCATGCAATGGGCTATCTGTGCTATGCCCACGCGATTATAGAAACATGATTTTTTTGCGCTATAAGCCCTTAAGACTTAACGCTGAACCGTCAGTGGGCTATTTTGCAAATGGAAATCCTTATTAGTTTCTATGTTCCATTTGTTTTTAATAGGGACCTAAATATATTTAGAACGAATATAGCCACGTAGCTTAACATTTTAAATATTCTTTTCACATAGCACATTTTATTTTCTAGTTGTAATCAAATGGTAAAGTCTTCTGAAAGACTTAAAATATCATGCTACTGCTTAAAAGACGTACAGTAATTCTGATAGTTTATTTCTCTGCAGTTGTGCCTATTCATGTTCTTTGTATTAAATGTATATTAGTTAATTTGTATTCAATAAAAAAAGTCATACTTTGTTCTCGAATGTGAATGCTAAGTTTTTACATAATAGTAGAAAACAAATTTTGCTCATGTTTTTCAAAATCTTTCATTGAGAATTTACTTGTGATTTTCTGTACCTTTTTCCGACATTATTATAACTAGGCCTATATATGCACTAAAAATATGGTGACAACGCGAAATATCCACGGTCATAAAAATATGATTAGAGCAGCGCACACTTAGCAGTGGGTTGCATTGCATAATATTACAAGACACTTCTCTTTGAAGATCCTTCACGTACCAATAAACATGTTCTTTCCTAATTACAGAATCAGTACACGAAACAATTGCTAGTTTGATTTATCCAATGGACATTCTCAGTTACTGTAATATTCCCTTTCGAAGTGATGCCTTGCTTTCCATAGGCTAACTTTAAGAATAAAGTGACTGTTTGTTTGAAGTTAAGCACAAAGCTACACAATGGGCTATCTGTGCTCTACCCACCACGGGTATCGAAACCCGGATTCTAGCGTTGTAAGTCCGCAGACATACCGCTGTGCTACTGGAGGCAAAGAGATTGATAAAAAATAGTTTCTAACTACTTCATGGATGCGAGATATATTTAAATGGACTACATTACGACTATTAATAAAATGAGAGCACCTGCCTCAGAACAACGTATATCTAGGTGTCTAAGAACAGTCACACACATTGACAAATGATGCAAATATGAAAACAATTTTTTTTTGTCTTCCAGAACACTTCACAATTTTAAAATGTTGACTAAGCTTCTTGGTTCTAAATTTTGACATGCTCCAAGATTGGACCATCCAACCGGAAAATCTCGCATATGACTTCTTTGTAGAATTCTCTGGGTGATAAATCTTGTTGATTTAACTGCTTAACAGACTAACGGCAATTCTCTACAGTTGTGTTTATTCCTGTTTTTTGCATTAGTTACTACTTATAACAACCTCCTTGATGGATGCGAGATGTTAAATCCCACACAGAATATGCTAGTTTTATATTTTCTTTTAAAGCAAAGTAAACACTGTTTTTTTGTGCATCGAATCTGTCTTACGTAAGCTATATTACTTTGCAATCATGTTATATTTTGAGTAGTAGTCCCGGACATTTTCGGTAGCTAAATACGCCCCTGGTGGCTGTTGAATGTTGGCGAGATGCCCTTTCTTCACAACTTGATGATGCTAATAAAAATGTTTTTACTGTTCTGAAACAATGTAGCTGAACTCTTGGTTCAGCATTATGGAAGTAAAAAAGATTAGTAGACTATAACATCAACTATCCAATGTCGTTACAGATTTAACAAAAATGAGATTATCATATTGTGCTGGTTTGTTTTTTTGAATTTCGCGCAAAGCTACACGAGGGCTATCTGCGCTAGCCGTCCCTAATTTAGTAGTGTAAGACTAGAGTGAAGGCAGCTAGTCATCACCACCCACCGCCAACTCTTGGGCTACTCTTTTACCAACGAATAGTGGGATTGACCGTCACATTATAACGCCCCCACGGCTGAAAGGGCGAGCATGTTTGGTGTGACTGGGATTCGAACCCTCGACCCTCAGATTGCGAGTCGAGTGCCGTAACCACCTGGCCATGCCGGGCCCATATTGAGCTGGAAGCTCATATGAAGAATAGATTCAAACTTGTAAAAGAGAATACCACTGCCATTGGAGTGCATCGATAAACCCCGGGCCACTATATAACCTTTGTAATGGATGTCAAGACAATTTTTACCAAGCAATCGTAGTCCAAACATCTTTAATTAAAGTAGTTGCACTGAATACAGGCGGGGGAACTTTTTATCAACAAATACTTTAATGGACGAATAGGCCAGATGATTAAACAGAAGCTTTGTCAAAAATTAATTCAAATACAAGTCCCAGTCCAATAACGTTGGTGAAAACTTACGTAAAAAGAGGAAAATTCACATAAACAGTATTTCTAAAAGGCGAAATATCTCAACTAAACTTCAACATCTAGGCAGCAGTGTTCCCTCTGATGGACTGCCAGGGTCATTAAGACTGACATCGTGTTGAGATTCCTCACCGTTACTGTAAACGTGCGCGGCTAGAATAATGAAGTGCGCAGCACTTGATTGGTTATTTTGCAGCCGCGCAGCCTACCAGTTTTTTTTTATATATATTTTTTAAGAGTATGGGCATTTTTAGACCATCGACCATATTGGATCATTAGGCTGCTTTACAATGCTACCAGTTGGTTGTTTGGGCTTTAGGCCTACACATCCGCACATTACCTTGGTACTGGTGCACATGAAAAAATTCGTTCCGCACATGGATTGAAAAAGTTAGAGGGAACATTGCTTGCCAGCATCACTCTTGGAAGCACATTTATTTTAAAGTGATACGCATACAGGGCAGAAGAGTGGCATATGCAAAGGAGACAAGTTCCACTATGAAAATCACATTTCTATAGCAAATGACTGAATAGATTCATATGTACAAATTTTAGAACAGTTATGAAGACCATATTCCATATAGCATTACGTATTTTTAAGTCGGGAGGAAATTCCAAATCTGGTCGGCATCGACAAATTACCTCAATCTCCAATTTACTAGCTACAAGTGATGGTACAATTATTTTGTGAAAAAAACATTCAAAACGTATTCCTAACTTCTGGAAAAATATGTATTCTAGGAAAGCTCAATTTCTTTACATTTCCATACAACCGTTTGTTTTATCAATTGGTAATTTAAGCATTATTTTAGATATGATCGATTTCAATTTAATTAAAATATTTTAAATACAGCTAATTTCTATTTGTCAAAATTAGCTTTTCTCAGAGTCAGAAGTGTAGGTTCAATTCTCATTGGAAATTCGGCGAAATATTTAACTATTATTAAGTTAAAAATTACTTATAAACATTTCATTTCTACTCATCTAATGATTTATAAGCAGGAATTTACAATCTCTCAAGCTGTGGATGCTTGTATTTTTAGTCTGTTACTTCTGTTTCAGAACGTTAACAATTCTTTCAAAATTTTACATTTAAACTATAATTACTTTTTACAAGCCAACAGTGTCTCTTATAATGTTACTACAAATATTATATATTTTCACTGTAGAACTGCATTCATAAAGACACTTATTGTATTCCTAATATCTTTAAGTACCAAACAAGTAGACAAGTTTTATAACTTAGGATCACAAGTTTTAACTGATTGTATATGTTCCTGAATAGTAAAGACAAAAACCAATTCCCTAATATGTTTTTTTATTAATTATGAAGGTAAAATTGCAATTAATAAAAAAATGGTTTTCACAATAGGCATACACATACAAATAATCGTTTTTCAACATTACAAAGACTTAGCTAAATCAAAATTATTCTTTATGTTTGAATTTCAATGAAAAAAGAACTGCATTCATCAATCTTAAACAGCTGATGACAATTGTAGTTTTTTAAAATATAGTACACTTAATCCAGAAAATCTTCATTACTGAGGAGAAGGACCAGATGGTGAAAGTAAAGGAGGTAATCCAGAAAAACCTCATTAGTGAGGAGAAGGGCCAGATGGTGAAAGTAAAGGAAGTAATCCAGAAAAACTTCATTACTGAGGAGAAGGATCAGGTGGTGGAGGTAAAGGAAGTAATCCAGAAAAACCCCATTACTGAGGAGAAAGATCAGGTGGTGGAGGTAAAGGAAGTAATCCAGAAAAACCACATTACTGAGGAGAAGGACCAGGTGGTGGAGGTAAAGGAGGAGCACTATCAAAATTAGTTGGTACCATAGAAGGGGGAGGAGGAGGAGGAGGAAGAGGCGGTGGACCAGGAGGACGTGGAGGTGGGGGAGGAATAAGAGGAGGAGGTGGAGGTGGAAGGTTTGTATTTGGTGGAGGTGTAAGATGGGAAGTTGGTGGAACATTTGCTGATAGTATAGAAAATGGTTTGCTTTTGATGTCTATCTTAAAACTACACTGCAGAAAAAACTGTTTAGTTTCTCGGTTCCACATTGTCCAGAATTTTCCTTCGGACTTGTCTACTTCACGACTGGGAACTTTGAACGCAATAGTTTCGTATGGTTCAGCTGCAAACAGCAGATACTGCCATTTTTTATCTGGAGGTTCAATTTTCTGTTCATATGCCGACATAAAACGATGTCTCGGAATAACAATCTCAGATATTTCTGGATAATCAATCTGAAATAAAAGACTCTGTTGTCCTGTTTCAGGTTCTCGTTGTTTAGTCACCCGATAGCCTGGTCGACCAATTTTAACAAATTTCTTTATATCGACTCTTGGCTTAGCTGGTGCTGGCTGAGCTGGTGAATCCTTAGCTTCTTTGGCAGCTCTGCGAGCAAGATTTGCCTGGTGCTTTTTTCCTTGAGTGTGAGTTAGGTAGCTTCCTTCGTTATTGTGGAGTGTCAAACAAAGTTTACATTCGTATGATCCTTGAAAAATACAAAAGAAACATTATAGTAAAAAAAAATGAAATAATGTTAATTTAATAAAATACTATTATCATCTTTGTGGGTTTTATTTTTCAAATTAAACTCTATTTACATTAGAATAAAGATGTATCAGACAAGTTGTTAGTAAAGTGAGTTATAGCTAATGACTGGTATTATCTTTTACTTTTTAAAAAAAAATCATTCAAGATTCTCATAATTCTTCCAAACATTTAAAGATTTTAAAGAAATTACTACTACAAGTAATGATTTAAGCTATACGTGTCAACTTAATATAACAAA